ACCGATCCGTTGTTCGCGATTTCCCCATGCAACCGTAGTCTTTAGTCGCTTTAAGCGGGGGATCTGGCTCGCTTTTGCAAAAACAAGTATTCCTATATCTCAAAACTTTGGCAATAGCCCTCCTCTCCCGTGTCGGTTGAATCCCTCCCGGCGAAATCCTACTACCTATTCGTCCATATATGAACGCCGGGAACACATACTCGAACGAAGGGTGTGTTGTTTGAGAACTTTCCAGCGAAACTGCTATAATTTAGAGGCCGGCGGCATGCAGGTAAAGCACGACTTTTTGCCGCCATTTACATTCACAGCCTGGTCTGGATAGTCGACCGCTGCCCTTAACGAAATAATCGAAATTTACCCCGAGCTTTTCGAAAACGAATACGACATTTTGATTCGACGATAGCGTAAAGTGATTTCTCGAGTCTCTAACCACCGCGCTATTTTTCCTCGGTAATTAAGAAACGTAAGTGGGTTTTGAACGCAGAGGAGACTTATTAAATCACCCATGGGTGAATTGAACGCGACAACATGAAGAATTTTAAAGCATTATACCTAAAGATCGAACGTTCTACAATTTTCATGCCCTTCCGTAAAATTCCAAAGCTCTATTTTTCAATTAAAACGATACACGGCCGTTAAACAACTGTGCTCGTTGACCAAGAATAGGTTGACGCGTAGCAGTGATTATTGAGATGGTATGAAATAACGTTCGAGCGACGATAGTATTGATTGCACGTTGGTTACGATATGGTTTCAGTATTAGTGACTCCCTTGCGCTAACAAACTCGTCTAAACGTGACCGGGGAAATCTAATTCTGCGGCCTGTGTGTAAAACCTTGCCTCGTCCCCATTATCAGATATTACACTTTAAAACCTTTTTCCTACGACTCGACAAAATCACAAACCTATATAATTCGCAACTTGTCGAAATAGTTCACGAAAGGATAGGCTATGGGTTGGCAGGAAATAAATCGGTATGACGAACCGAGCCGAGCGAGAAAGAGAGGGCTAGGCTAGCCCATAATTTGACATCAGTCGTGTTCCGTCAGTAACTCCGGCTTAATTACATTCCACGATGCTCCGTGCTCATTGTATCCTCGGACGGAGTTATGTTTCCCAGGACAAGGACGAAGATGGGTTGAAAGTCGAAAGGAATTCCCTGGTAACGCGACTCGCCGCAATGCATTCAAGTCTGCGCACACAGCGAAAATTAGCTCGGACAAAGTATGCATTTGTCGCATACGGCGTTTCGATGACGAAACAACGAAACGTAAAAGCCAAAGGGGAAGGGAAACGTGTGCGAGAAGAGGCGCTAGAGCTAGAAAAATGGCGCGGGAAGATAGATCTAATTTTATCCGTGGGCTGAGAAGGGAAGACTGTTGCTCTCCCACACAGTTAAAAGGGAAAACGAGAGAGCCTGTGCAGGCCGACCGGGATGAAAAAAGCTGCTCATCGGAGCTTGCGAGCACGGAAAACCGAACCGATCGACGTCATCCGAGTCGGGCCTCTGGAAGCTTTGATCGCTCGGCCGGGTGCCGTTTCTCGTCAAACAGAGACAAAGGCAGCACTTGCAACCAAGAAGGACACACGTTCTGTCCGCGTTATGTTTTACTCACACGAGCTTCGTCGAAAATATATGGCCAATAGGTTTACCAGAGGCCCAACCAAACGTTTTATCAATTTTAGCATGTAGGTGATTCTATTGCATCTGAACAACTTCTTTTCTAATCTCGAAAAACGAAACAAAGGATTCGTTTGTCATCTTCATATTCACATCCACCATTCATCTTCGGCGTCTGCGAATCGCGGAGACGAAGAAAAATAGGCGACATGTCCGATGACCAGCAGTAAGCGAGACGCCAGTGAAAATGTCTAGCTAAATTGCTTGTCCCTCCTTCCTTCCTCCTCGTCCTCTCTTTCTTTCTGAAAAAC